TAACTTTAATTTAGACTAATTTGGGTTTTGGACATTGGTAACTTGGAAACAAGTATTTTTGATGTCAAAATAATTTGATCGAAATGGCCTGATTTTCGATGTCAATTTCGATTTGATGAGTTTTCGATGACATCGATGTCGAAACGACGTCGATTCGACATCAGCCTTCTCATTGGGTCATTGTGCACTTGCCATGCTAAAAATGTTCAATTAAAACCGATTAAAATGTAATCCGTTTTAATCGATTTCAATCGGTTTTAATTAGAGTCCTAGAATACAGAGATGCGACACGGCGTCAGTTAGGTTAGGTAGCCACCGCCATTTTAATTCAGTAAAGTACTCCTAATCTTATAAGCTGATGACAGTTGATGCAAAAAGAAAATACTTACACCATAATAATAGCTTTTTATTGCATTTCAACACTTTGTATTGTCTTAATTTTTCTCTATATAATTTATATGTAATATTTTACAAAGCTGTATCTTGATGCATTAGGTGCAATAGTGAATTAAAATGGCGCTTTGATCATTTGATTGGTGCTTTGTCATGTGATTTAGACAGCCAATCAGACCATACCCTTCAATGTCGCATCTCTGCTTTCTAGGACTCTAACGAAACTTACATCCTTTTAGGGCGAATTCGACATAGGAATATTGTTTAAGCCTTGATGGCTCAACTGAATTGTCGCTGGATTTGTGAATAATGCGAGTATATACGTTTATTGCAAAAACTGAATGCCTTTATTCTCCACGTCGTTGTATGTATACATACATAACTTTTTGTTCACACACATACAATACTTCCGGTCGTCGTTATCTTTGACTATATAATCATGGACCGCTGACGCCAACTTCACGTTGGTAGCCAAGATCTGTAGCGACACCGTGTGGCAAAGCGGTAGTTGGGAGAAATAAAGGTAGCAGCCTGCAGCAGTATCTGGCAATAGAATTCCGAGAATTCCTTTAAGATTAATTTTTATTTTATAAATTGGAAGCAAAATTAAAATTAAAACATTTATTATAAAATAGTTAATGATGTGTTACAACATTTAACAT